GCTTGCAAAGCCAAAATTGGCACTTGCCAAAAAAACACAAAAAAACCGTAAAACAATAATAATACTAATTCAGTCCTTCATAATGAACTGGCTTTATCTTGTCTCCATGTGCCAGTCTTTTTAGTTAATGGACAGGCACATGATGCAGGCTGGCTTGGCTTCTGAAGAAAGGCAGGCTTGGTGGCTCTTACATGCATCTCCTTTCATGGGAATTTTCATATTCATGTGGAAGAAGTGGAAAAACTCATTTTGCTCAGGGAAAAAGTCCAGGCGGTGACCAGGTTGCAGCTAAATTGCTAAGACCAACCCCTGAAAAAAGGCTATGATCAGAGAAAAGAAAAAAAAAAAAAAAAACCCTGTGCTTTCTGCATTTGGCCCACCCATCAAACTTTCTACTTTCTCTGCTTCCATGGCATGCAGTTTCCTTTAGTGTGAGCAATGGCTGCGTATACTCAAATCAACAATTAAATTCCCCCTTTGTTTGTGTGGCAGATGACAAATGCATGGAGGACATCTTGTGTTGCCTAGGCAGGCAGGGCACTTACTTTGATTGATGCTCGGTTGTGGAAAAAAATGAGCTGGGAAGGAATTACAATGGAGGGCCAGCAGACTGGAAGGGGATATACTAACTAGTCCTGCATTAAGCAGTCGGCTTGCATTTGGCAGCGAGCAGCCTTCAGGAGGGAAGCGTAGGGGTTATTGATGCAAAACAGCATGGAATGCATTATGCCAGGTAGCTGTATATTAGTTTTGTTAGGAAAAATAGAAGTTTCTAATGAAGATATAAACACTTAGGTTACTGTATTATTATTAGTATTTTTAACACTCCTAAATGTGTTAGGTGGGCTGTGCTTTTTTAATTGTACATGATCCTATGGACAATCTGGAAATTCTTCTCTCTTTTTAAGTCACTCTCCCAGAGTTTCACCATCCTGGGCAGAGGTTCGGTTGTTGTGTTGTTAGGTGCTGTTGAGTCAACTTTCAACTCATAGTGACCTCATGTCACAGAGTAGAACTGCTCCATAGGGTTTTCAAGACTATAATCTTTACAGGAACAGAAAGCCAGGTCTTTCTCCCAGAGAGTCGCTAGATAGGTTTGAACCGCCAGCCTTTTGGTTAGCAGCCAAGTGCTTAACCATTGTGCCACCATGGCTCCTTGGGCGAGATTCTAGGAAGGGAAAGCTGCTGCCACATCTATACTCTCTGGATCCTTTTCTCTAAAACCCTGCAGTTCCAAAAGCACTGAGCCTTGCTGGTGGAGCATATGTAAAGAGAAAGGAAGTTTCCTGCTGGCCGCTTTTCAGGGTTTTAGAAAGTTGTTGCTCATTTGACCCAGAAAGAACCTTAGGGCCATCTGAAGACAAATTTGGCTTCTCCCTCAGGCTGGATTAAATGGGAATAAAGAGAAAGGCAACGCATGTATCTCCGTCTGGCTTAGCATTTGTGGTTTGCCCTTTTATTTATCTGGCTATAGGCAGAGGTAGCGTGGTAAATGGGTGTGCTGAAACCTCTCTCATAATTCAAGATGGACACAGACACTCCAGGTAACTGAAGGGAGACATGACCGATAATCTCAAGGCCAATACTTCCTGAGCAATGGAGAACTGGAGGGTGATGGAGAGGCAAAGATGCTCAAATAATTACTAATAGGAGTGGTTTAAAATTCAAACACTGAAATGTCGATTTGGTTAATTTGTCGTGAAGAATCAGTGAAATGGGATTCAATAACTTCCATGAGGTGGCTTAAAGACAAAGAAATCACAGAAGTCTTTGGTCACAGTGTGGAAGAAGGGGCATTGAAACTCCCTTGATTTTAGAGTCTCAGAATAATTTCATTAATCCAACAGTTGGCATTGATGATGCGATTCTCAGTGATTCTTTATGTTGATACACAATGCACTATGGGGCATCTCATGTTAACCTAATGAGAAAGTAGATGGCACAAGGTTCTTGGCTCAACTTATCCAGTTGTCAAAGCCTGATACAGCTGACATTCCCTTTTTTCTTATGCTAGAGATGGGTTCATTTATGGATTTACAGATGCCTATGCTGGGGAAAAACATACAAGTGATAAAGAAGGTATGCTTAATTAGCAAAGGCTACTGAGTATTTATTTTCAGTGTTATCCATAAACTGGAGAATAAGACATACACCAAAAACATCAGAACTCTCATCAAATGATTAAAGCCTGTCTTTCATGCACACAACTAGGAATTGTGCCAATAGCTCTAGGAGGAAAAGCTAAATAGTTTATGTGGTTTATTTTTTAACCATTCCTTTGTTTTAGAATTCTATCTTATTCTTGAAATGATTCTATGTCACCATGACCTTCTCTTGCCAAGAAGGCACAGTTGAGGCATCCTTCAGTAATAGCCTAGGGCTTTGGATAAGTAAGATGCTGTGCTGGCTTCTCCCTGTTCTTCCAATGTTTACACAACCAAGACTTATTACATGCTCTGTCATTTTGTTACTGGGCTGGCTTTGGTTTGAGAATTAGGTAAACATCATACATTCTATCACACAATTTTAGACTCAATCTTACTTTATAATGATGTTAATGTTTATTGTACAAAGTGAGATGCATTTGTATATTTTAGCATTTTATTTCAGTCACAGCAAAAGCTGACATTGGAATCAGTTTGATTTTTTTTTTTGTGTGTGATTGAAGATATTAAGCACTGTAAGAACGTTGAAATTTCAATCTGATTAGGATCCAAATTCCTCAGGATCAAAACACTTCTTTTCCTCCCCCTACAGTTTTACTAATTGTGTGCTACTTGACATTGTGGAGTTATTCCACAGCATGATAGCTAAATACGTGAAGTGTATTTTACTGTACAGAATTATCAGTTCATTCTATTTGTTTTTCATGTGTTTAAGGTTATTAAAAGAACTCAAAATTAGAAGTCATGTGCATGAGTTAAAAGAGTGAACTCAATCATTGTTAGTAGGCTAAATCATAAAGCAATAGCCAGTATGTCAATATGAAGTAATGAAAAAACGCACAGATTTGAAAGCATACCTCTCTGTTTATTAGTTGGCACAATACCAGAAAAATTAGGAGAACAGCACAATAGTGAATGGCAGAGTAGTTTATTTTCAGCACTCTCAAATTATTCTGGCTACTGAAAATGAGATAAAAGTAGATCGGAAAGAATGGTTTCAAATGTATTTGTTGGAGACCTTTGCTTTATGGGAAGAAATGAACTGCCCTAGCTCACTGTTCCTGAGGAATTGTGTTTCTTTGAGCTGTAAATCAAATCCCAGGGAGATAGCAGGGCGTTTTCCAAATAATAGCTGCAGATGACAAGGTTTTTTTTTTTTTTTTTTGGTCAGCATCAGGTTTTTGAATTTAGACCTCAGTTGAGATTCCAAAATGAAAAAGCACCCCCTCACACACACACACGCTCTGTGACAGCGTTTTACAAACAATATATTACTTTTAAGTCTTTATCTATAGAGTACAGTGGTCCAAAAATATATCCATTGCTTCCTCCAAAGGTCCTGACTTTTTCCATTTCCTCTGAATTCCCAGCTACAAAGAACCTGATGTTTCTCTTCAGGAAACAGCATCAATTTTTATTTCAATTAATTGGAGAACCATCTGCTTCTGTGATACATGACACCCATTCATTCTTAGCAACAAGTGTGTTCCCTAAATCCCCGGTGTGTGATTTCAGACACGCGGTCAGTGTTGGGAATGCAACCTGCTAGAGAGCAGCCCTGCAGGTGGACTCTTCCCAGAGCCATGGCACATACACGATTTGACGTTGACCTTGGTCCCATGTCAGTGTTCTAATCAGGGTTAAAAACACAGCACAAGATGGTCATACTCCAAGGCTTTGGCTAGTTTACTGTCTGTCCGTTATGTTTTTGAAGATCTGAGTTTGAAATGAGCAAACAGCTGCACAGGGCAGGACAGATCTGAAAACTCTCCTTGACCATGGCAAGAAAAGGGAGAGCAGATGAATACAAAGAACACCCAGCTGAGTTTTATTACAAAAAAAAAAACAACTTCATCTTCAAGCTGTACCATCTCATTTGTGGTACTTCACGTGTAGTTAACCAGAGATCAGAATTGGGTTTAGAACCTTCGAGGAATATAGCCTGTATCTTTCAGGAAGACTCTACTGAATGGTCATAAAAAGAACCTCTGGTTGGAAGAGGGCACCCCCTTCTTAAGTGGCTCACCAGATCAGTGCGTCTTAACTTACAGGATTCTCAGACCCCTTCCACGCACAGCGTAAACAGGCCAGCTGACTCTGATTAGGGAAAACTCCATTAGGATGTGGGTGTGCGTGTTATTGCTCAGACCCTGCCAGAACCCTGCTTGTCTGTCCTTTCTTACACGCCACTGAAAGTACTTTGGGGTTCAGGCTGTGGGTCAGGAGACAGGAACCAGACTCAAAGAGCTGAGATTAGGTTCTCTCTCCCAGAAGTCAGGGCATGGAGGTACCCGCTCCTCTGCAGAACACGGTGAAAAGACACTGCCTTTGAGAACTGCTGTGCCCACAAAAGGGTGGTGGTGACTTCCACAAGATGTGCTCTGTCCCTACCCCTTGGGTTTCACCCCAGCCCCAGTTCCGTGGCTAGTCAAGTGGGAATTTTTATGAGGCTCTGGTCTATTTGAGCTTGTCTTCTCCTCATATATATTTTGAAACTGAGACAAAAAATTTCAGAGTTGAAATTGCTCTCTAGGAAATGAAAGGGTCAAGAAAGCACTTAAGACAAAGGTCCCCTACCACCTCATGGGAGAGAGAGCACAAGAGACCATGAAATTCAGGGTGAGTGCCTAAAGATCCAGCAGTTTCTCTGGGCCTGAGGTCCAACTTTCAATCTAACACAAGTTGAAGTGATTTATGTTTCACTTTTTCTCATGGTGCGCTGACAGTCATCTCAAATGTACACAGGAGAGATACAGGGAGACATTAGCACTAAACCAAACAAGCATCAGAGAGAGACACCAGCCTGGGTTATACCCACACCCAGGAGGTACTTACAGTCAAGGTGACTGTGCCTGATGCCCTCAACGTCTTCAGCGTGGATGAAGTGGTAGCATCTCTTCCCTACAATGTCTACAGGGGTCAGATCCATATAATCACTAATCCTACAAAGAGAAGAGCACAGGCTGGAATTAAGAAAGGAGGAAAAATACAGAAACTCTCAAATGACTTAGAAACAAATCTACAAACATATTTTCATTATACCAGGTTAACCATGAGGACGTGGCACTTTGAGGGAAACCCTTTATAGATAAGATTATTTCTTTAATGTATAATAGACTTTTTACAAAGTAAGAAATGTGCTAGATCAAGCAATAGTGTTTAAATAATTGGTAGGTTTTTCTTTTTTTGGCATTAGAGTGCACATTTAGACAACATAATTCCATAAAATTATTGAGAATCAGTAACAATGCAAGATCCTCATTTGAAGCCAAGATAATTCAAGGTTACATAATAAAATAAAAACATGTTATGTTTATACCAAATGATTAGAGACACCTTTCATTTAAACAGATTGGTCTTCTATTGGGTATTTCCATGAAAAAGAGCTTCAACTGCTTCTTGGCACAAAGTCCAAATTGGCATTTCAAGGGATATAATTTAAATGCTGAGACATACAGATGCCTGAGGGTATTATCTTTTTTAGTCTTAGTCATTTGGGAGCTCAGCTTTCACTCCTGCTCCTTTTAACTGGTACTTTGTGGTGGATTCCACACAGAAACTTTTAAACCGTTTCAGCAGCTCTTTCAGGCTTGTGCTCGACAGTACGTGTGTGTCAGCCTCTGTCATTGATTGTCCAGATGTCAATGTCCTCAGGCAGGAGCACAGAAAAACAGAACAGAAATGGGAAAACATGTTGGGGGACTCTGCCTGGTTTACACAAACGCCTCAAAATGCTTCTTACCCTCCTCCCTGCCCACGTACAGATTCATTTTGGTCAGCCCAAGACAGAATATATTGTAAAATTTAATGTATTCCTTTTACTGTCCTTTTTATAATTTATGATCTACTTAAATATGAAGTGAATCTTTAGAAATGACACTTTTAAGACACGCGAAATCATTCTTGAGGAGCTACGTCTAGCCCTGGAAGCTGGGAAATAAGACACAAAAACAAAATCATATGGAATCTACTTAAAATACACTACTCAGCGAGTGAACTTCTCAGTGTCTAGCAATTTAATTAGTTTTTGGCATAAAACTTTTGGCAAAACTAGAATTCTTGGAAAGATAAGACTAATTGGGGAAACAAAAAAGAGTGTTTTCTAACGATTTCAGGGTTCTCTGGTACAAAACAGATTAGTTGGTGTTTTCCTAAAACCATTAGCTGTTTTCCAAGAACAGTTTATACCCCCTTTCTGGGATGTCATTAAAAGACCCTCAGTGGTGTTTCCGAAATTTGCCAGCTCCTCTGAAAGCATCAGATGTCTGCTTTGCCTGAGGCCATTCTGGGGAATGCCAGAGGAGAAGAATGGTTTGCAGAGGCAAGGAGAGAGCTGTAGTTTCCAGCTAACAATTCCCTAATTAAATAATAAACCCCAGGAAAAAGCCACTCTGGTCTTTAGGGAAGACATTTCTTTAGTTTATTCTCTATTTGAATAAAATCCTTCAAAACGATTTCCTGAAGCCCTTCTATGCACTAGAGCCGGTTGCTGTAGCGAAACACGACCAGCTCAATGTTCAAGGCTCTCTTACTGTATGTGTAGAAAGCACCAGAGCTGTCTGATGACCTGTATCAGGATCAGAATCCTGATGGCATCCTTTCCCCTGAGCCTCAGTTTCCTCATCTGTAAAACAACCTGAGGGGTTGGTAAGAGGATTCATGAATGAAATGAAATGAAGTTAGCATAGTGCCTGGCACACAGTATGCTTCTCTGTCGGCTCAAATATACAATTACCTTCAATACAGGTCTTTTTCATAATTACTATCATCTTCAGTTGGGAAATAATGCTGTATTGTATAGGCTAATAAGGGGTTGTGGAAAGCTTTTTTTTTTTTTATATGGGAAGAAAAAAGCTAAAAGCGGGTCACAGAAAATGATCTCAATTACTAGAGTGGCACCCATAAGGCACTCATGTCCATGGAGCTTGTCAAAAGAATTAATCAATCTGTGATCACAGGAACGAAAATTAAGCACTGGTTTTGGGACAGGACTATTATTGGGAGTTAGGTAAATAAGAGGAGCCTCTGTTTTTTGGAGGAAGTGGGGATAGTAAATCTAAATGAAGGAAGCTGAATTCTCCGGAGATTTCAAAAAGCTTCCTTTTCCGAATACAAGAAACCATGTTTTCAAAGAAGCAAAGCCATAGTTCGTTCTTTGACTCTTAAATCTGCTTCCCTTGGTTGGAGCTCCTTCTCTAGTATGCTACGTTTTAGTCAGAAAACAAACTGCTTTGCTGGCTGTGATGGTGTCCTTTCATGGGCTCATAATGTATGAAAGGCCCCACTCAGAGTTTATTCTGTTGGTACCCTGTAATTCAGCCTGACTTGGGGGGCGGGGGGGAGGAGACAAGGAATCCAGGGAGTCCCCATAGAATGTGGCTAAGTGCATGGGCTTTTGAATCCCACAGACTTGTGTTCAAATCTTGGCCCCAGGCAAGCCACTTAACCTTTTCCCCTAAACTGAAGTGGCTTGAGGGTAATGGAGTCAGTAGCAGCACCTTTCTCATAGAACTGCTGGGAAGCTTAAATGAGGTGGTTCAAATAATGTGCTTAGCACATCATCTAGCACCTAGTAAGTGCTCAATAAAAGTTAGCTATCTTTATTGTTAGGCATCCCTGGGTGGTGCCAACAGTTAATGGGCTTGGATGCTAACCAAAAGGTTGGAGGTTCAAGTCCACCCAGAGGAGCCCTGAAGAAAGGCTTGACGATCTACTTCCAAAAAGCAGCATTGAAAACCTTATGGATCACATTTCTACTTTGACACATATGGGGTTGCCATGAGTCAGAATCCACTTGAAGGCAACTGGTATCTTTATTATTACTTGTCAACTCCAGCTAATCATTCTGACTAACTAGCCTTTGCTGATATTCTGTGCCCATTCCAGAATACCTCACACATAGGCAAGTATACAGTTATGATATTAAGAATCTTAATAAATGCCAACAAATCTTGAAAAGCATATTTTGAATTACTTATCGAATAACAGTTTGATAGGTTCATGATTGTCTTCTACCCCACTGAACACTAATAGCTCAGAGGTGGGTATCTTTTCCTACTGGTGAATTCTTTCCTTTGAATGAAATCCTGACTGGAAATGGTTGGCAGTTTCTAACTTGGTCTCGATATCTTTAGCTCTTCCCAGTGAAGTGGATGCAGGAGGTTTCTGTCTTCTTCTTGGCTAGCTCCTGGAGAGGTCAATTACCCAAGCCACTTGACCATTCTGCTCTTTAATTTCCCCTCTGAAGGGCTCACTGAACCTGTATTGCCTTCAGGCCCGGTGACAATCTGTGCCAAAAAAGCATCCTCCCAAATCGACTCAGTAATCTTCCCTGGGCACCAGGGGATGGTGGTATTATCACCAACGCTTCCTTCGCACGAGCCACACACATGCAGTTTCTCTCAACCCCTCTCCCCACATCCCCATTATTCTCTCTTCTTCCAATCAGTCTGATGATGGGCTGGTGACTTCTAGATGAAAGGTCTTAAGGGGCACTGTCCCATTTCCTTGTCCCTTGCTCTGCGCTTAATGGAAAAAGTGAACTTTTTAACCAGAGGCTAAAAAGTCCTTTTATAAAAGCTCCGTCTTGAGGAAGAAGTGCCAACTCATTTATATGATGAGTCTTTTTTTTTTTTTTAATAGAAGTGAAATCTTCAGGATTACACAGTTTTATTTAATAGTTTTGCAGATTTCTTTTCCGTCCTTTTTCCTCTGGGGGACTCATATTCTCATTTGTCCTCTGTGTGCTTAATGGCTATGTGAACGCTGACTCTCATGAGGCTGGACCTTTGCATTAGTCAGGAAGTGGGTCTGGCTGAGGCATCAGGCGACACCTTTTACTGCATCGTTTTGCCAATAACATCTCAGCCCTACTCTCTCCTTGGGTTTTCAGCCAAAATGGGCTTTCATTATTGCATATGGATATCTGGGTATTCCAATTCATTCAATTGTTGTCCCTAATGTAAATCAGGACAGCAATGAAAATTTTAAGTAAAAAGCCTGTTGGTGTCAGTCCAAGCAGCCATTAAAAACAACATCAGGATTTATAATGCGGCTTATTGGGAGAGTGAAATCCTTCAGTCTGCTGAGAACACAAACCCTTGCCCAACGTGCAGCATACAACAGGGCAAATGAAAACAAAAACAAAGTACCTATTTTCACAGTAAATGATATTGAGGTCCATATTTACTCGTGTGACGAACATATGGCAGTCGATTCTGACTTCATTGATCGTAGGGGGCGGCAAGGCGTGAGCCACAACCACGAGACCCATGATTTGGCTGGGGACGGTCCTCCCGTGGGACAGTGACACTCTCAGGCGTAGCCGGCCTGTTATGTGAATCACCTGTAAAAGAATATTAAGTACACAACACACCAGTCAAATTTACGTCCCAGATGTAACAGTATTTCTTTTGAGAAATGTGGAAGTACATCTGGAACAACCAACATTAGCTGGTCTCTTCTGTAATCATGATGGCTGTCAGTGTGACCTCAGTGTCTTTCAGGGCAAGAGACAAACAAAAAACTATATTATACTCAGGTCACTTCTCAAGGCAGCATTATTATTGGCTATTGCTATTTTTCAGGAGTGTTTTTTTTTTTTTTTTTACATTTAGAGGAAATTCAGAACCAAATAAAATGACCAAGAAGTTGAGCACTAAGCTGCAAAACTGAATGTTTGCATTATTGGCCCTTGTTAAGGGGAGATGTGTGTCTCTCTCCCAGCTTGTACTAAGTGGGATTACACGGCCATCTCCTTTCACTGCAGCTTTCCTTCATTCGGGGGTTGATATTGCAAAAGGCCAAAGACTCCAGTGAATAAAGGCTCAGTGGCAATGACATGAACGGGTTCTGTTGATCACAGACAGTACATGTTAGGCAGCATCGAGTTACCAATAACACAGTGATTTAGTGCAATAGCCTGTGGGTTTGGTGGTCAGAGGTGTTTGGCTCATGATTTGTTCCTCAAGCCCATACTAGAGTAAAGCCAGGAAGACTTGCTCCATTTTGGTGGCAGCTCAGAAGGGCTATCCCTGAACCAGGAGGGAGAAGACTGGGCTGTTATTTTTGGTTTCTTCTCTAAAGTACTCCATGCAGCCCAGGCCACCCAGAACCAAATAAAACTGGCTCATCATCCCCACACATTATTATTTTTATTTTTTGTTTATTGTTGTAGTTTAAGTGAAAGTTTACATTTCAAGTTATTTTCTCACACAAAAATGTATACATACATTGTTATGTGACCCTCATTGCTCTCCCTATACTGTGACAGCACACTCCTCCTTTCCACCCCTGATTTCTTGTGTCCATTCAACCAGCTCCTAACCCTCTTTGCCTTTTCATCTCACCTCTGGACAGAAGCTGCCCATTTAGTCTCATGTATTTACTTGAGCTAAGAAGCACACTCTCCATAAGTATCATTTTATGTCCCACAGTCCAGTCCAATCTTTGTCTGAAGAGTTGGCCTCGGGAATTGTTTTAGTTCTGGGCTGACAGAGAGGCCGGGGGCCATGCTTTCTGGGGTTCCTCCAGTCTCAGTCAGACCACTAAGTCTGGTCTTTTTACTAGAATTTGATTTCTGCAGCCCATCTTTCTCCTGCTCCATCAGGGACTCTCTGTTGTGTTCCCTATCAGGGTGGTAATTAGTGGTAGCCGGGCACCATCTAGTTCTTCTGGTCTCAGGCTCACACATTTTTGAATTGTATTATTATTTTTTTGAAAAAGTTCCTTTGCTTATAAACTGCACATAGAAGACAAGCTAAAATGTCAACTTCCTTAATTGATATTTTGAGGAATAATCATGAGAGGGTGAAAAGTATGAAGGACTTGTGCAGCTGTGCTTGCTTTGGGATGATGGGAGTTGGGTGTGCGTGTGTGGTGGGAGGTTGGAGGCGATAGTGGTGTGTGTGAACTCTAGCTGTGTTTCTGGGACCCTGCTGCCAAGTGGGGGACCTTCTAAAGCCTGGCTGTGGGTAATCGCCCTGATTGACTGCACCGTCGAGCTCAGTTTAGTAGCTGAGTTCCCACATTTGTTTTGCCTTTCCAGCCGCATCGTTGAGTGCCAAATCATCTTTGGAGATTCCACTTTTCCCACTTTGCCATCAGGAAATGAAGTGGGTTTTTATCACTTCCCAGGAACAATATGATTGAGCCCCTGCTTTCCTTCTCAGGGGATGGACTTGTAATTCCGTTTCCATTTTTATTTTTGTTTCCTTTAAGTTACTCAGTTTTCCAAAAGCAGCCACACTCCTGTCAGTCAGGAGGCAGGATCAAAGCTTACGGGGCTGCACTTCAGAGTCCTGGCTGTTTGAAATAATACCCCTTCCCCGTCACACTTCACATTTGTGCCCAGAGCTGCTGATCTGGAAACACCAATCAGGAAGATTATTTAGGTTATTTCAGGAGCAGCTTTTCAACCACGCACATTTGAAGGTGACTAAATTCATACTTAATGTAGCTTTGCTTTAAGGTTTGGTCAGACTAGCTACTTTATGAATATTTGAAAATGTTCCTAGAGGCAAGGATGCTAAAACACCATCACAGACACATATTTCTGCAAGACCTCATTAACTAATAAAGAAATAGCTAAAAGAATCGGGATTAACTTCACAGGAGGGGGGTTTACAGTGCCTGGTCCTCCTCCCAGCTAGGCTTACATAGATGCTTATTTATCATTATCTTGTCTTGTTTTATCAGGAATACTCAGCTTCTTGGAAAAACACAGATCTACAAATGCTCAGGAAAACATACACTCAGAAATGATATGCTAAATAAATCTCCACTTGATATTCTATTCAAAAGCAATTTAAAGGCGTCTGAGCTGGAAAACATTTTGGGAAGGCAGACAGGCGACTGGGCGGGGGGTGGGGAGGAGAGCTCCTTCTTGCATGGCTGATTTAATGAAGCCTCCTCCTCTCTCCAGCTTTGCCTATGAATACTGTGGTATTGAAAGGTCCCAAGAGTAGGGCTTAGTAGGATCCAGAGTCCCTGGGTGGTACAAACGGTTAACACAGTTGGCTATTAACTGAAAGGCTGAAGGTTTGAGTCCATCCAGAGGCACCTCAGAAGAAAGGACTAGCTATCTACTTCCAAAAAATCAGCCATTGAAAACCCTATGGAGCACAGTTCTACTCTGATACACATGGGGTCACCATGAGTCAGAATCGACTCGATGGCAACTGGTTACTGGTAGTAGAGGTCTAGAGTTGCCATTTTCTGGCGTTATTCTGGGCAAGTCATTCAACCTCTGTGTGTCTCAATTTCCTTTTCTTTGAAATGGGGATAATACTGACTTTCCTGCAGTCATGTTGAGAAAATCAAAGGAAGGTGAACACTTTATAAACTGTAAAGAGGTCTACTACAAAGTTCATTACAGTGTTTGTTTGTTCTTAAAAATGTCAACCTATTAATAAAGATTAGGACTGATTATTAATTTTATCCTGACCAAAGGCCTAATAAATGACTTATAATTTTAAAGGTTTCCAAATTTCACAATTGGAAGAAAATTTGAGAGGATCTATCTGAACCCCCTACCCCTCCACTTTTCAGATGAGAAAACAGAAGCTCTGAAAACTTAATTTCCTGTCCAAAGTCACCCAACTTGGAAATGGCAAACAGAGCCTAGAACCCAGGTTTCCAGGTCTTGCTTGAATGTCATTTCAACCACTGTATGCCTCTATCCTTTGTTATGCTTCTATGCATTATATATATATGCATATTCCTATTGAATGAAAAGTTAGAATTTTATACAAGATGTCAATTTACTACCCTAAGTAAACAAAAATACCAAACCAGTTGCTGTCAAGTCAGTTCCAACTCATGGCGACCCCATGTGTTTCAGGGTAGAACTGCACTCCACAGAGTTTTCAATGACTGTGATCTTTCGGCAGTAGATCACCAGAACTGCTTATAAACCTTTAAAAAGATTCCACGTATAACCAGAAACTCAGCTGCAGGATATCTGAAAAGTCTTTGTGAAATAGCACAAAATAAGAAAAAATGAAACTAAAAATATTACCAAAGCAGTGACTAAACAATTAGAAGGTATGTATGTCTGCATGTCTAGGGGTGAGGGAGGGTGGGATTGAGGAGAAGGAAAGAGTATCTGTTAGATCCCACAATTAATCTCTGGGTTTAAATTAATGTATTTTTCCAAATCCATTTCATAATGCCAACAGAACTTCTTTTTCCCCCATGGACAGGCTGTGTTCAGATTTTAGAAACATGTCTGACAGCATGTGCCCAAACATTTAGGTAGCTGAACTTTTTACTTTATAGTTGCTTTTAAGGCCTGAGATATAGAGGAAAGAGAATTGTCAAGGAGCTGGGTTCAAATCCAAACTCTGGCACTTAATAGCCATGCAACTATGATGCTCAGATCATTGAAATGACTTGCTTAGTTTCCAGGTCAGTATATCAGAGATTAAAAACCTAGCATGAAGACAAGTGCTCTGCAAAGGTGTGCTTTGTTTTCTCAACACGATTATCAAAAGACATATCGTTGGTTCTATCAAAAAAAAAAAAAAACTAAAACCCATTGCCATTGAGTTGATTCTGACTCATAGCAACCCTATAGGGCAGAGTAGAATTGCCCCATAGGGTTTTCAAGGAGCAGCTGGTGGATTCGAACGACTGACCTTTTGGTTAGCAGCTATAGCTCTCAACCATTGAGCCACCAGGGCTCCACTGGTTCTATGGTATCTAAAAAACATTATATGCAAAGGAGCTTGCTAGATGCCAGGTAGCAGACCAAGATGAATCAGATGTGAACTTTTTCCTCAGAGTTTACAGACTTTAAGGTGGGGAAAAGGGAGCCCCGGTGGTGCTGTGGTTAGGCACTTGGCTGCTAACCGAAAAGTCTGGTAGGTTTGAACCCACTAGTCATTCCATGGGAGAAAAATGTGGCAGTCTGCTTCCATAAAGATTATAACCTTGGAAACTGTATGGGGCTGTTCTACTCTGTCCTATAGGGTCACTATGCAGTCGCTATGAGTCAGAATCGATTTGATGGCGCACAACAACAAGGTGGAAGAAGACATATATAGTTACTTGTAATACAGTAATAAGCAGGGGATGATACAATGTGTGATCAAGCAAATCACCCTCTATCCTGGTTATGTGACAGAATCACCTGTGAAGTTTTGTTAAAATGTAAAGTCTCAGGCTCTCTCCGCACTGATTCTAGTTCGGTAGGATTGGGCTGGGGTTTAGCGTTTGTCTTTCTTTTTTTTTTTTTTTAAGTTTTAGAAGTGATGCTAGCTAGTTCAGAATATCTGGGTAATGGGTTTGGAGTTACCAGTGGTTTTCAAACTTGACTACACATTGGAATCATCCAGGGAGTCTTTA